ATTCCCTGTTCTTGCTGGTGAAGTGATCTCAACTAGAGGTGTAGGGGATACTGAGTCGGTGGTGATTATATTTTAATGGACATCTATTATGGCCATGTCCCTTTATTTTATTTTTAATCCGTACAGCAATGGGGCTAAGTAGATATTATTACCTACATTTTACAGATGATGAAACAGAGGCTCAGAGTTATTTAGCAATTTGGTTGAAAGCCAATCAATTAAGTGGCTGAAAGGGACACCTAATAAGTCACTCAACTATCAAGAAGGCCCAGGGCTGCCAGCCTTCAGAGCCTGTGCTCCTCCTTAAATTAAGCCTCACTGCCCATAGCAGTGACCATGGGACTAACTTATCTGCCATCCAAAAAATCATCTACGTCCCCAAGTCCTCAGGGCCATGGTCTGGCTCCTGACCAGCAGACTTGGGAGATCCCTCATTTCCTACTGGGAAGAGCTGCCTGGGAGGCTGACAAAAGGCCCCGGCCACAGCCCTTGACTCAGACGCTGAGGGCCATCTAATTGCTGGGCCCTGGTTCCCCTCTGCATTGCAAAAGCAGGTTGTCATTTCTTCGTGGCAAACCCCAGGAACTGTCTTTAATTCCAGGCTCTCAGGGAAGGGCAGAAACTGCAGTTCTTTCTCCCAGCCAAGGAGATGGAGCAAGACCATGGACAGCCTTTGCCAGAGAACATGTAATTTCCTTGGATTCACTGGCGACAGGCTGCACTGGGCGACAGCAGCCCCCACCAATCTTTGATTTCCTCTGTGTTAATCCAAGAGTCTGTTGTGTGACTTCAACTCCTGACATCAGTGTTCTCACTCCCACCCTGCCCTCTCTACTCCCAACCCAGCATCTAGAGTCCCCGGCCAACCCTCCAGGCAAGGACCAGCCTGCAGAGAGGCCTCCAAGAAACTGCCCTTCACCATTCCAAGAAACCCTGCCATCGTCTATAAGAACCCTGAAAGCAAACAACTGAACCCCTACACTCTACTCGCCCCCTTTCCAGCATGGAGTTTACGAAAAGAGACAGAGGGATGAAGAGGGAGAGGAAGATCCTATATTTGGGCCTCCTTCACCACTTCCTCCCCAACCCGCCCCGCTCCCCCGACTTTGGATGGATTGTGCTAACCTCAGCAGTGTGATGAATGGGGATTTGAGGAGGGGAAAGGACTTTGCTGAGCAAGGAGAAAAAGCATTTGGTGTGTTTGATTTGGTTTGCTGTTTGCCCTCAGGAAATCTGAGCTGGGTTCCCGAACATACCACAAAATGTGTCATCAAGACAACAGATGAATTCTCAAGCTTAGCCGAATGCAAAACTGGAAGCCAGAGAGGGCAAGGGACGCCTGGCTCCATGGGCAGCAGGGCTGGCCAAGGGTGCCAGAAGGGCTGAGATAAGAGACACTGGGTCCAGGTGTGACTGGCTTGTACCTCCCAGTCTCTTCCAGCCCAGTGTCCTCTGGCTCTTTGGCTGATGAGCTCAGACCCACTCAGGGATGGCCCACCAAGCAGACTAAACATATGTTCAGTAGCCAGCATGTCAGGGACACCCAAAAATGAGTATAAAAATAATTTTTGAAGGAATATGATATTTCCAAAAAAGCATCAAAGTAGTCATCATGGGCAAAGCCAGAAAATTATTGGTCCTCCTTATACTTATTTTATGGTTTGGAATTTTTACTTTGAGCTACATATTGGGGAGAGTGCAGACACCTTTTCAGGGCTTGTTGCTTCAGAAGTCCTAATCTGCCTGTTATAGTGCCTTGGGAACACATGTGCCCAAGAGTCTCCAAACCCACAGCTGCTGCCTGCTTGGCACCACTTTGATGACTTTCTCTACCCAAGAGTTCCAAGCCCACATACCCAACCTTCCTTCCTCTCTTACCCCAGCTCTTAATGACCCTGGCAACAGAGTCCTGCAGAGCAATGCTTCCCAACCTTTCTCATGTCACAGGACACAGAGAAACTGGCTCAGGGGCTCTGACTATCCCAGGGCCTGCTCAACTCACACCTGAGGCTGAAGGGATCCCTCAACAGCACACCTGGAAGCCACCTGGAACCCACCCCCTGACACCAGTGTGCTCTGCTGTCCACTGCCGACCCTTGGTAACCAGTTAGAGTAAGCAAGGCAGCTCTTAAATGCTGCTATCCCCTGCTTTTCCAGGGACCCCTTTTATAATACTTCATCCAGACCTGCCTTGCTAATAGGACTCTTCTAGTCCTGCCTCCAAAATGTACCTGCTTCCTCTTCTAGTCTTTTGGGTTATCTCCCAAATTAATGCCTGTCCAGGAATGGACATCAATTTAGTAGATAACCTAATACATTAAATGTAATGCATTTCACCATTAGCACATAAAGACAACTTAGTAGTAACTGGAGCCAAAGGAAACAGGCAACAAATGGGGAGGCATTTTTAAGTAAGTCTCTTGGTGTCCCCCAGATCACATTATTCAGTGTTCCATCTCCTGCATGGGTAACCTTGTGCTAGGGACACAACTGGCTGGAGGTCTGAGATCCTCTGTCACCACTGACTGTCTGGGCTAGGGGACCATGAGCACTGCTGGGTATGCTTCCTCATCTGTAAATTGACCTTACCAATCTCTGCCCAGCCTGCTCTCCAGAGCTGTGGTGAAGACCACACGGTATAGTGATGAAAGTATGTAGTAAATTACAAAGTCCGCTGTAAATAGTGGGGACCATATAATTTATTGTTTCCAAACTGGGACATTTTTGAGAATAAAAGAGGATACTATTAATAATCATGCCAGAACTGCAGGAGTCAACCAGGATGGTCCAGACAAGCCAGCACTTATGTCCTCCTTACTGACAAATACAAGAGATGTGCACAAAGGCGGGGCAGGCTATCAAAAAAATGGGCACTGGGACTCAGGAGACCCAGAGTTCAGTCCTGGCTTCCACACTTACTTGTCAAACCTCTCTGGGCTTCAGTGTTAAGTAAAATGGGGTAAACCCGGCCTATCAAACCTACAGAATTATCACGTGGATGAAATGAAACCCTAACCGTGAAAAGACTGAACCCTGCAAAGCTCTACGCAGATAAGAGATGCTGGTATCACGCTTCTGGGGGCTGTGATCAGGAGCACTGGGCGGCTGGGGCTATACCTCTGGGTGGGCGTAGGCTGCCGCCGCATCCCTCTGCAGGGCCGAGCGGATGTCTGGCATGCCATCTAGGATGTCACTGGAGCAGTTCTCTTTGCCTCGCTTGTTCATCTCAGTTCGAATTTCCTCCATGTCTTCTTTGATTTGCTCGTTTTCCTTGGTGAGGTTTTTAGAAACTTCCTGAGAAAACATTTAAAAAGAGGATCCATAAAAGTGTTTTGAAGACAAGCAGGAGACAGCAAATAGCCGTCTTCTGCTCAGCGCACAGAGACACAACAGACAGGCTGAGAAATGGGCCAACAGGTGACTGGGACCTGAGAGTGTGCCCAGCCCTGTGCTGAGGACCAGTGCCAGCTTCCCTGGTAGCATTTCCAGAGCAGCCCAGCTCTGGTGTGTCTAGCTACTGGAAATGCTGCCCAAACTACCATAATTTTTCTAATAGTAACATTGCCATGTCCCTGAGCCACCAGGACACCTGGCTCTTTTTCTGTCATTTCTATACAGTCCACCCTAACCCAGTGATGATGAACATTACAAAAAATTCCATTCACTTGCACCCCATACATGTGAACCGGTCACTCAATTAATAAAAGAAGGGTTTTCTAAGCAATTTTAGATGAGGTGGCCAAAAAGAAAAAAAAAAACAACTATTTAGTCTGCTTTTCTTTTTTTTTTTTTTTTCCTTTTTGTCTTTTTTCGTGACCGGTAACGGGATTGCAACCCTCATTGTCGCGCCTGTACCGCGACCGGCAACGGGATCGCAACCCTCGGTGTCGCGCCCGCACCGCACTCAACCAGTGAGCGGACCGGTCTCTACATGGGATCCGAACCCTCGGCGGGAGCGTCACCGCACTCCCAAGCACTGCACTTTACCGAGTGCGCCACCGGGCCGCCCAGTTTGATGTTTTTTTTTTTTTTTAGTCTGCTTTTCTAAAGAGCACAAACTGTTTCCCAGCACTTTAAAAAGCATCATTTGCATAGAAAATTGGTAGGCTGGTGTATTCATCCATTTCTGGTGCTAATAACAGAATACCTGAAACTTGGTAATTTATAAAGAATTGGAATTTATTTCTTACAGTTTGGAGGCTGGGAAGTCCAAGGTCCAGGGAATACATCTGTGAGAGTTCTTCATGGTGGGGTGACTCTCTACAGCAACTCAGGGTATTGCACGGCAAGAATGGGCCGAACACTCCATTTTGATCGACCCATTCACGAGGGCAAAGTCCTCACAATCTAATCATCTCTTAAAGGCCCCACCTTTCAAATACCATAATTGGATTTCCCACCCTCTTAACACTGTTACAATGGGGGTCAAATTTCCAATACATGAACTTTTGGGGAACACACTTAACCCATAGCAGCTGGCTTCAAACTTTCCTATTTACCTATCAAAACAGTTTCCCTCACTGACCCTCCACTTGGCAAATTAGCCATGGTCCAAACCTGGTCCATACCAAGAACGGCCAAAGCTACACTTCAACACTGGTCAGTACCTCCCAAGTGTCAAAGGTGCAGTGTGGCAGAAAGAAAGGCTCAAAATACCCTTAGGGTTCTTGTCTTGTGTGTGGGTGGGGAAGATGGCAACTATAACTGGGGAGAGACCAACCACATCAGGGTCTGTAAGTGGCAAAAGTGAGATTTCATTAGTTCTGGGCTGGAGGTGTCAGAGGCACCTTCCTGGAGAAAGTAAACGCTGAATGGGATTTGAATCATGAGAATGTTGTCAGTAGGCTTAGAGATGCCCTTTCTTCTCTAGTTATTTTTGGAGAAGTTTGACCACATAGAGGCACAACATTGTCCAACTTTGGCCTCCATCCTAAGGTTTCCATGAGCATCCAAATTTTTCAATGTGATGTTCTTCTTTGGGCCGTGTTTATGAGACTGGAAGAGGAAGCAGCCATGTAAAACAGAGGATGTGTTTGCTTTCCATCTTTCATTAACAAACAGACATGGGAAGTGTGAAAGCTTCTAGATCCTGCCAGGCATAGCCCTGTGGCCTGGTGAGATGCTACTACATCCTGGAGGAAAGCCACAGTGGCTCAGAGCCAGGGGGATGTGTACGTATTCAGGCAGACCATGACACACAGACACTGTGGCTCCAGTGGCTCCTACAGGAGCTGCTCAAAGGAGCCCAAATAGGTGCTTTTTAAAATAATCAGGCTCCAGACCCATCAGCCATGCCATTCTCATAGCATTTCATGGCAGGCCAAATTTTGAGCACTGGAAGGGCTCAATGTGTTCTACAGGGCTTAGGCCAAGCCAGCCTCTCTAAATTGCACAGAATTAACTGAGAGCTAAAGTGCATGAGAAAGAGATCTTGTTTCAAGAATACTTGGAATGAGTGGTGATACTGGGTGTGTAGTCATTCCTGATAGGGGTTATTGGGGCAGTCAAGTGCAATGGTTAAGAGCATGGATTCTGGAGGAAACTCTGTGGTTCACACCTCAGTGCTGCTATTGCTAGACCTGCGATCTCAGGGAAATTACTTAAACTCCCTTTGCTTCTGTTTCCCATCTGTAAAGTAGTAATAATACATTAGCACTTTCCCTATGGGTTGTTATGAGGATTAAATGAATATAATATATATGGATGTGCGTGGAATATGCTAAGTGGTTGTTAATTTCCACAGAATGTTACAGCTGGAATGGACCCCAGAATTCAAGCCTAACCTTTCATTTTACAGAGAGGAAACTAAGGCTCAGAATCGGAATGCGATTTGCCCAAGGTCATAAAAAAAAGCAGCAGAGCTGAGCTTCCTGGTCCTCACTTCTTCAGCTCACTTTCTAGAGCACTAAGAACATCAGGAGAGAGTCCTGACACTTGGCCAGCTCTCAGCAGCACCAAGCACATACAAGAAGGCAGGGAATACTCAGTTTGGTTTCAGGATATATGAGAGGGTATTCATATGCTGAGAAGTATAGAAATGCTGGACTCCCATAAATCCTCACTACTCTGCTTGTCCAGAGACCAGCAGCATTGGCATCATGTGGGATCTTGTAAGAAATGCAGATTCTCAGGTCCCACCCAGCCCTGCTGAACCAGAATCTGCATTTTAACAAGATTCCCAGGTGCTCTGCATACACATTAAAGTTTGAGAAGTGCTGCCTTAAATATAGGAAGCTTGGGGTGTAGATGCTGGAGAAGGGAGCAGAAATGTGTGAGAGAGGCTGTTGGACAGGAATCAAGTTCTTTCTGGGGCTGATGGAAAAGTTCCTGGTGCAGTTCACGCATTACTGGAACCCATAAGCACCTGCCAAGAGCAGCACCTGTGGCTGTCCCTCCCACAGCTCTCACATCCTAAGACAGACCACGAAGCCCAGCAGTGCAGGGATGTTGTGTGCTACTCTTCATTAACACACGAGTGTACTCCTTGCTGGCACTGAGGGGTCAAGCGTGAGCAGCACGGACGAGGATCCTGCCCTGGGGAAGACCACCCTCCATGCCATGAGGGGGTAGGCAGCAACAGATGAGTAAACAAAAAAACATCAACCAGTGAAAAGTGCTGCGAAGAAACTAAGTCAGGGCGGTGTGGCTGAGGCTGGTTGGTAACGCCTCTCTGAGGAGGGGACTGAAGTGTGACAACACCTGCTGCCCAGCCTGGACTCCAGTAAAAGTGCTGGTACCTCTGGGTACACTGGATGGCTTGGCCTAAGTATCTTTACTGTGGGAAAGAAGATCTTGCCTGACTCCTGAACACCTCGAAACATCAACATTGGTCCCTCCAATGAGGCTCTCACTGTGAGGCAAGGGGTCAGACCCCAGATCTTGGGGTTTCTAAGCCCCTAGAGAACACCCCTTCTCATTGATTTATAATCTCCAAACCCCTTTCTGGCTTCAGTGAGGAGCCATTATTCTGGATTTGCACAGAGGAGGGCTTGAGGCAGGCCTGGCCCTGACGACGCAGAGGAGCATATGCTTTACTCCCCTCACGGGAACGGCAAAGCCCGCCAGCCGCCTGAATAAACATGGGGCTGGCGGTGGCATCACCCCATCAGCCTGCTGGCTGAGCCAGCTGGTGTCCCACAGGGCAGCAGCAGCAGCTGCCCCTCCATGGCCACCCCCCACACCCAGCTACCTCCAGCCTGGGGGTACTGGCTTTGTAGAGCTCCCCGACCCCTCCCTGGGGCTCTGCTTCCCTCACACCAAGGACCTTTTGGGGGACATTTCTCAGGAGGCTCAAGGGATGCCACCCATGCAGGGTGCTCTCGCTCCTCCCTGGCAGACAGGTGAACACCATGACCTCATGCCTCAGGCTCTTCACCTCCAGGGCAGCTGCAACCGTGACATTTACGGTGTGTGCAGCTTGGCTCGTGGGCAGTGCAGGCAGTGAGGTGGAGGAGGTGGGAAGGGTGCCTATCTGGCAGGAGTGAGCAAAACAAATGGCCCTGCCAAGGATCCCGGTGCTGTGAAGAGCAGAGATGGGAGGAGGGATGAGGAGCCAGCAGATAAGGGTGGGGACAGAAGGCTGCACACAGCCAGCTGAGGCAGTTAAAGATCTGGAAACTGTGTCATGACTGCTTGGGCTAGGCAGAGCCAAGGAACTGAGAGGTGTTCACAGAACAAATGCCACAGGCTGGAGGGGCATCAGAGGGTGTCTGCTGAGAGCAAGCCCATGTTGTCAGATGGGGACAGGTGTCCAGTGCTGACCACAGCCAGATGTGCAGATACCAGAGGGGAGGAAGTGTGCAAACGAGGCACGGCTCTGGGCCGAGGGCATCTGTTATGGTGGAGTTGGAGTCCAGCTGGCAGTCAGCACTAGCCAGCACGTTTGGTCAGAACACAGTTTTAACAAGCCCTCAAGCCCAACACTAGACATGCAGATTTGGGGAACAGGCACGGGGAAAGGCTGTTTTATGGGTACGAACTGTATCCTGACCCTGTCCAGCTCTGGGACAAGTATATGTGTGCCTGGGTGAGATTGTGTAGCAGCTTAAGCTAAAACCATGGGGACCAGGGGGAAGATGATCATGGAACAGAGCTCTGGCAGTTCTCTGTGGTCTTGTTTTCCTGACAAGAACCAGGGATGGGGGAAGGTGCAGGCTCTGGCTACCAGGTGTGAAACCCACCCCACTCACAGCCTGGTATGTAACCATGTAAGGCAAAAAGGAACAATGACACCCACTGCACCCAGGCTGGGTATGGAGAATGGGTGAGGGCTGTATGTGACACAATGCCTGGCA